CACCACATGAGTATTTTAAGTGCCAAAACTAAGATGGAGATTCGAAAATAATTATATGGAGATGTCTGAAAGAATGCATCATTCGTGCAATCTTCGTATCTGCTTGAAAAAAAAAAAAACAAACAATATAAGGCACATTTCAGCTGCTCTAAGTTTTTCAGCAGTTTTTCATAGAAAAACCAGAAATGTGTTTGCAATATATTTTGTTTCAGCAACACTGACTTATAAGAGCTTTCGTTTATTCGGTATTGGTTCTTCCTAAGATTCTTAGTGGAATTCACTGATCTGAAATATAAAACCAAATAGGAGGGCATCTATGAATGATAAAAGATGGCTACCTTTTAAAATTAACAATGTCTGTGGCTAAAAATGTTAAACTCAGTCCTTAGTTGAAATGCAAGATTTTACCAAAAGTAATTAAGTTAGTATCAAAAATATAAATTTCTTTATCAAATCTTAATATTAGAGGACTCAGATGAACAAAATGGAACAACTCGAGGTTATGATCCACAGCACTGGGTCAATTTTGCAAGAACTATTCAGCAGAGTTCCCAAGAGGTCATCAGATTAAAAAAAAGAAAAGAAAAAAAAAGACAGATGTGAAAGAAGAGTAGTTTCAAGAACTGAACTTATTTATGGACTCCAGAAAACTGCTGGTTAGCTGCTCCATGCCATCTAGATAAGAAATGGCTTAAAATATACCATAACTTCATACAAGCACTGTGGTTCCTCATTACGCATCTGGAAACAAAGAACAGCTTCTATGCAACAGTGAAAACTTCCAGGCCATATATCATGCAGTGGATTGACGTGAAGATTGTTTTCTGGAGAAGAGCCTTTATTCATTCTAAATCAATGGATGCTACAGAATGGATGATAAACTTACATGTCGAACTCTAAAGTTGCTATTCAACTTGCTCGACGAAAGAAAAGATTGAATACAAGATTTGATTATCTAACATCCAGTGCAATATGTAAAATGCTTTACCTTTCTTTTCTTTCATATGAGAGGTACACGGAAATTGGCTAGTGAGTTTAATCCACTTACCTTGAAAGAAAAAGTAAAGTACTTGCAAATAAGTTTAAATGAATTTTAAAATAAAAAATAAAAAAATAAAAATAAAAAAGAGTCATGGCCCCTGTGTTATTTTAGGAAAAACAAGCAATTACACTTAGTTCTAACAGGTGGAATAATGACTTTTTCACCTGTCAACTGGCAGCTTAGAATTCCCACACATGTAGACCATTTCTGTTTCATCTTTTCTTTGAATTTCAGTTGCTTTGCTTTTCAATGCCTGTGCTTTGCTGGTGTCTCCTTTGTGTCTGAAACTCTCACACTGAGTTCCGCCTCTTTGGTGCGGGGCTTTCTTTTCACAGTGACATTTCAACATAAACAGTCAATATTCATTACCTCAAAGGAGACTTCCCTCCTATTGCTGACCAATTAAATACCAGCTGAGTTAGGCAGACAAAGGTAAAGAAGCTGTACTACAGGGCTGGCTTGGAGTATACTTCTTCCCTTAAATGGGGAAAGAATGTATTCAAAATGAAGAATTGACAATATTGGGAAAATCCAAAGCAGAGCAGAACAGTTTCTTAAGAAGTTATGCTCCTGCTCTTTATCTTGCAAGGTCTGTTCCTAGTGTTATTCAGCCCATAGACAAGAATAGGAAAGATGCCTACATATCACAGGGACAAAGACAGATACCAGGTGTTCCTATACAACCTCAATAACTTTGATAAAATAACAAGCACATTGCAAAAATCTCCTGTTTGATAACAGGAGAAAAGGCTTTCCCCTTTTTCTTTTTTCCTTTTTTTTTTCTCTGAGATGGGAGTAAGATCCAGACGTATTTTGAATGCTGTTGCATTACATACAGTTCAGCAAAGGCTTCTTCCTTTTACACTAAGGTTCAAGAAAAATGCCCTCCTAAACAGATCATGGGCAAGGTGAAGATGTAACCAAGCCTACAACAGATGAGAACAGCCTGCTGACAGCCTGGAGGCTGATGAACCTCCTTCTCTGTCACAGAGTGGGAGGGGAAGGGCATCGATATCATTTACCATCTCCAAAATACAGGCACGACCCTTAGGGGAAGAAATAGCTCTACCAATGGCAATGCAAATCAAGTATCAGTTTTACCTGGAATGTGGAAGAGCACTGAATCATAAAAAAAATAAGATGAGAACAACTGCAAGGGACACTCTATACTGCACAGCAGCCTCAAGGCAGGATCAGATGCCTGAACTACACCTGACATTTTTGTCCAGCCTCTTCTTGAAAACCTCCGGCAGCACAGCCTCTTTGTCCCAGTCCATTCCAGTGCTTAACTCTACTTACAGCCTGCTACGTTCTTCTAATTGCCTAAAGCAGACCCTTTTTACTCTGATTTAACATTACATAAGCCCAAATCTACACATTCATCAATAGAATCCAAGAAGTCCAATGGTGTTTTAGCCCATTCATGTTTTTCAGAGTTTAAGTACAAAAGGTAGATTTCAAGTGTTGAGAATTCTCAGATAATTAAAAAAATAAAGCAATAATTTATAATCTGAAAGAATGCAGAAACTTATTTGTCCTAACAAAGGTATTAGTAGAGTAAGCAAGCAAAGAAAATAAAACAGGTTGGAACATGAGGGTATGCAGATCAGACACCAGTGTGATGTGAACAAGTCTGAAATCAAAAGACTCAATGATTGCTCAGTGCAAGATCAGGCTGAATTGTCACAGTTTGAAACAGCATGTTTAATGATCAGAAGTAGTTCTTATATTTTTACATGAACTCATAAGGATTTTTTTTCCTTCTTGTGAAATAGAATTTTCTATAGCACAAAAGGGCCCAATCCCACAGCCTACCCTCAGTGGGAGGTTTGCTTAACCAAGAAATGCAATGTCAGGCCTTCTCAGAGGATAAAAACAATACAAAGAATTGGTGTAGATGCTTTATGTAAAGGTAACAGCTTGAATCCCTGAAAGCATCCAAATGATTTTTACTTAAATGGATGTGACACTGCCAAGAAAGAAACTTTATCCTCATGAGAGATCTTTATTAGCCAGGGTACTTAACCCTAAAGATGAGGAGAATTTAATAATCACGGGGTTGTTTTCTCCCTCTTTCTTTCATTTGTGCAGCCAGCAGCTAGAGGGCACAAAAGAATGCTTTTACCTTATGATCTATCATATAAAAGAGCCCTACTCACTGAATAAAGAAAAAATAAAATTCCTAATATCATAGACTACAACACATTTTGTTTAGATTCTTAGTCTCAGTTCTGTTTCTCAAGAAGCAGTAGCAACACGGAGTCGATTGCATGACAATGCAGGAAACTAAATATCTTTACTCCACTAAGAGTGTGTATTTAAACCCCAGAACACACCAGGTATTTCACATCACATACGCTCTCTATGCACACGGTCATCATTACTTGCCTTAACTGTTTTGCAGAGCTCTTTGTTTAAAACTAATATAAACACATATTTAACCTCCTTCATTCTTACATCTTAAATATTAATGCTGGCTGTGACTCTGCATTAATAACAGCTATTATTTTTGCATTAATAAGGAGCTTACAAGAATAAACATAGAAGTCATAGTGCAGTCTTCCTGTCAATTAAAAAGAGTCAGTTGTATCTGCGGAGTACTTTATCTTATCATTTCACTCGGGACATTCCCAGGATCTGATCTGAACAGCTCCAGTGATAACAAACATGTAAGTACACAGAAAACCATCATGGCAAGAAAGTCAGAAGGGAGGTTATCAGTGAATTGCCAATTTTGGAATCCCTCACTTTGGAAGGAGTGTTATCACCATAAGTGAGGTCACTGGTGTGGACAGTGTGAGCATAGAGCTCGACATTCTTCCCACCAGAAATCCTAATAACCCCAGAAGAGAGGAATCCTAATAACCCAGTCACATCTGTTGCTGCGCTGTAAAATGGGGCGGACCTTAATAGCAACGTGTGTATTTGTATGTGTATACGTACACACATGTAGTTAAAAAGTGAAGCAAAACAAAGACCCTTTCCCTTCACCCCTAATGAACTGCACCAACCCCTTAGGCAGAAATGACTTGGATCCGGATAGAGCGCCATTTGCCAAATTGTAAATTGCCTACATTTATTTTGGGAGTGCACTAAACAGAGTGCTAATTGCCTTGTTTAGCACTTTCCCTTCTTTCATTTGCACTGGTGTAAAATCTTAGTAAATTAACTCAGGATTTTATTATGTAGGTAGCATTTGAACAACTGAATCAGTGAGAAAGCAGCATCAAAGGACTGATAAAAGAGGAGTTGACTCTACCCAGAATGCCATTTATATGTCCCTTGAATTAAAAAGGATGAAATTAACTTTTAATCCTTTTGCTTTTCATATAGCTGATCTTAACATAACATGTATTACTCAGTCATTTTATTTGCATTTACTCATTTCAAAATGTTAATAACTGTGGTTGCAAGCTTACTGTATGGGAATGCAGAGTTGCTTGTAATCATATACATAAGTGTGTAGGATTCCTTAGTAATTTTTTTGAACTGCAGCCAAACATAGACTTGAGGCTTCTGTTTATTGTCAAAGAGAACACCCTGAAGAGCAATTCCCATCTAACTGTTCAGTGGGCTATGCAAAATTAGTTGGTGGTCTCATGCTTGTCCACAGCATTAAGGGTATCTTATTTTTACACAAAGTCCAAGGAGAAAATTGGAAAAAAAATAATCACCATATTTTCACCTCCATAATATTAATTTTTCCAACTGGGAAATTAGAAATGTCCTGGTTATTATGGAAAAAAATGCAATGATATCATATATATAAATAGATGTTTCAGAACAAAGTCTTGCATCAAAAAATGTTTGTTCACAATCCATTGGCAAGGGATTTCAGCATGGTAGCACCACTGTTTGTGAACAGAATTTCATTTAAAGAAAAAGCATACAGAAGACCACTGAGACCACTTTGTAGATCTGAGCTCTGCTCTGAACGCACCTGCTGGAGAGTTCCTACCTTTAGACAATGGATTTCAGCAGTGTTGAAATCTGGGGTGATCTACTTGCAGGACCTTAATATTCCTAAGTTCTGAGAAGCCAAAACTTCTGCCTTCATGTGCAGCCAAAAGCCTTTAAAAAAGACAGATAAAAACCTGTTTGTTGTAGTCGATAAACACTGTGCATGCAAAAACAACTACACTTTGTACATTTACCATTTCAGTTTGCAGTCCTTTTAAATCACATCTATATATGAGAAGCATAGTATCATAAAAATATAAAAATCAATTTATTCATATTAGAATTAATTTGAGAAACTATTAAAAATCAGTAAAATATATTTTCTTCGTTTCTGATAGATTTTTTTAAAAGCTAATTTAATGGTTATTTTCCCCCTCAGTACTTCTGACTGTAATGGGAATAGGAAATACAAAGCAAATTAATATAAGAAGTCATCACGTCCTGAATCCTTAGCACCCTAACAGCCTTTGAGTAAATAACACATTATATGTTCATATGTAAGTACCCAAACTTCTGTCCCTTACAGAATCTTACAAAACAGAAAAAAAAAGGGATTGTTTCATAAAGGCAAGTTTTTTACAATATTTTTTTAGTTCATTTTCCAGACCAGGATGGTTTGGGTGGGCTCCAGGTAAGTATCTGAACTACTGAATGCTTCTCCCAAATGAACGGCCAAGGCATTTGAAATACCTCTATTATTATTTAACACCTGGCTGCACTGCTGTTCAGTGCTATGTGAATAAAATAAGTCATGACTCAGTGTGTGCTAGCAATGCTTTGCCAAAAGAACAAAAGTACTCGATAATGATTCTCTGTAAGTGGGTTTGTAATGAAGGTACAGAACTTACTCCTTATATTGCAAAGGTAAGGGAAGCCATGCCATGTTTCCGCAGCAGCATTTTTGGGGACCACATCTTTTTGCTACAAGAGTTACTGAGAGAGAAAGGAGCAGATTCTAGATTTTTTTTTTTTACCTGTGCAAAAATTATAATGATTAATTAGGATGTGATATCCCTGTTACTGCTACTTTTATTACATTGCAGGTAATGCATAGCACTCATTCAAGCACAAGGACTCCATGATGTTCCATGCTATGAATATACGCACTGAAAATTTGATCTCTACATCTGGAAGTTTGTAATCTGAAATGTTGAATTTACAGGATTGAAGAACAGACAAAATGGTTAGCAGAAGAAAAGTAGCCACAGGTCGCATACAGCTCAGGGCACCTAAACACAGCCTTTCTTCAAACTGTTGCATAAATCTAGCAAGATTAAGTTGGTTCTGTCAGTTCAGTGAAGAAGTTAACTGCTGGACCCAAAGAGAAGGCAAGCACATAAACTAGAGAAGGAAGATCTGGGACGTGGGTTGAATAATTCTGAAAAAAATAGTGCTCTGGAGCTTAAGGAGAGGATTTTTTTTTTTTTTAAACTGCTCTCCAGGTTTCACTGTTTGGCCTTGTAATGTCATGAATATGTTTTTAACAAATCAACCTAGTGCTGAAAAATAACTGGGACTAAACAACAGCTTTCAAGTTCTTTGTTCCTTACTATTTAGTCACACACACACAAAAAAAAGCAAAAATACACAAAGGGAAAATTGTCTACAAATGCATACAAAGATTTTTATGTTCTACTATAGGCCCTTACATCAGGCAAAATGAATATGCTAAAGAATCTCCATTAAAAAGGTTAAAGCATAATTGGCTACCCTTAATGTCCCAAACAAATGCTGCCCAGTTCCACTTTATAACAGAAGACCATTAATGAAAATGTTATTTCAATACAAAATACAAAGAATACGTAGATCTACCAATATAATGCCTTCACTACAATGATTTTTATTTCATGATATCAATAGGATTTTCTCAATGAACATCATAGTCTTCAAAAAGAAACAATCCAAGAAGGGTGGTTACATAAACAGTATAAAACCGACCTTGTCCAGATACTCTACAGGGATGAGTTTTCCTGTTCCTTCTTTGTTCAATAAGTCAATTTGCTTTGGTAATTTGCTTTGAATTTTGAGAAACCGTTGTAGAATTAGTGCTTCCTCCATTGCCATTCCAAAGCACATACTCTAGCCAGAGTATAAGAAGAAATTTTAGTTTAGATTCTGCAGGAATTTGAGGTATTTCCTTTCATAAACAAGTTTTAGAAGTAGAAGTTACATTTTATATGTACATCTTGCTTACAAGCATCTCTAGCAAACTCCACAACATACTTCTATTTCTTATATATACATGGACAAGCTTATGTATGCATATACAAAAAGTATATAATGGAGTAGGATCTGCACTGTGTCAGAGTTTTAGATGGTGTTTCCCTGTACTTGTGAAGGACACGTGCTAGTTTTTAGGTATCAGTTATGTAGGTGTTCCCGATCAGACTTCTGTCTTCCATAATACAACAGCTTATGGAGGTTTTACATATGAACAGAATGACATTTTTGTCTTAATCTCGCCTTCCTCACACAATTGTGTTTAAATTGTGTGAAAATCAATGTAATTTCTCTATACTTTGTTATTGTTGTTGTTGTTGTTGTTAGAACAGTTAAAGGCTGATTAAGCCAGGGATGAACAATGAAGTGTTATGATGTAAAATCTTAAGAATCTGAGGCACAAGCACAACTAAGAACAAAACTTACACTGAAAACAAAAAGAAATACACCTACTACTGGTGGATCAACTTTTGACCGTAAAGGATACAGGAGCAATCCAGCAAGAAATAATTGTGTAGGGGCTGACATGCTATTGGGATCTCTAAGGGACATTGTTTTCCCCTTTGTCACAGAGTTGCTATTTTCCCCTGGATCAGCTTCATGCACATATTTTTACTTATCCAAATCACTGTGGTATCTAGAAAAAAAAAGCCACATTTTTTATGTTATTAATACTGCCAATGTTGAATCAGCTTTGAGATGACTCTGCCTGCACCTTTTCCTGCAAAGGAAGCACATAAAGAACACAGCTTCAGCTTTGCAAACTCCAGTTGTTCTTAAACCAGACATAAGAATAACTTTTTCAAATGAAAGAAACCTCAGAAAGATTAAGGAACGCAAAAATGGAATGCAAAATTTAGTGCATTCTCTCCCTGCCTCCTGTGTCCTTATAAGGTAGGTCATTTCCCTCAGGCTTGCTCTCAAATCAGCAACTCAGTGACTTTCTAAATTTTGACAAGTTCCACACAGTCCCCTGGCTCCCTTGGAAGCCCTGTGCTCTCGCTGCCTGAGGCTTGTCTGCTCCTTGTCCCCTGGAGTATCTCGGCCTCAGCCCTTGTTGCAAACTCCCTTTTCCCTTGCCTCTTCTTCTGTGATCATGCTTGGTTGCTCTTGGGGAAGAAATCATCTCCCCGTATTCCAGAGGGCTGTCGCAGAGAACAGCAGTCAGAAGAAGTTAAGCATCTCTCCAAAGGAACCTTGTAGACTGCGAAACGCATCAGAAGCTACAAATTAAACAGATATAATACAGTATCTCTGTGCTACTATTATGTATTATACCCCTAAAGAGGTACCATTTCAGTTTTCATGCCTGCAGAAAAGCAGCTCTCCATAGCAGACCTGCTGGAGGATCCCGCTTTGACCTGAGTCTGAGGGATGCTCATGCACGACCTCCGAGAAGCCTGGGTATGCCTCCCTGCTCTCATCAATGCAGATTCTGACATGTCGAGAGCAGCTATTAGATCAAGTCACCACACTGCCTTTGCACAATACTGCCTCTTTAAAACAGGACGATTTTTCACTTACAAAGCATTTCGCTCTAGAAATGCAGTGCATTAATTGAAAGAACTGGTGAGAGCGCTTAGCGTTATTTGCCGTATTTCACGTCCGTAAATGATAGCACAAATTTTAAATGATTTACTCAGCACTAGAAACAGATCAATGACACAAAGCCAGTGGCATTCGTAGCTACTTATAGCCATTTCTGATCCTCCTGCAGCAACCAGCACTCCCCCCAGGCAAACAGTGGCAGCATTTGATGTCAGACGCAAACGTCAGCAGCACCAATGAGAAACAGTTAACAGAGGCTTGATATTTCATTTCAGTGGGAAGGGAAATTAAATCTGCAGTTTGTGACTCTTAGGATATTAAGTCTCTATTAGGAAAGGGTTAAATACAGATTATGTAAATAGGGATATTGTTATTTGTCCCATATGTAGCACTGCAGAGTGAAAACCGCTTTCTCCCCTGATTTTTCTTTTTTTTTTTTTTTTTTTTTTAGTTTTTCTTTTCCACAAATTGAGAGATTAACCTGGACTCAATTGAAATGGCAGCCCATATCATACCTTCCCTTGATCTCACAGCATGGCTAATAACAGCTGGGGCCTACCAAGCAGGCTTCTTTATTTTTCCTTTATTGTTCCAGGCCACACAACCGTGAACCTTCAGCATGTTATGTACTTAAGCATGGTCAGGTTGATGTCATTATTTTCTTATTGTTGCGGAGCTCCCTGGGTGTTTGCCCATATTCATAGAGAGGGGCTTGTGTGCTCTTTGTAGGTTAACCTTTTAAAAAGGAGATGCTCGACCACTTGCAAATGTAGCCCAGGGCTGTGACATTGCACTAGGCCGATTGGTACGCTTCAAAACACATATTAGCACCACTTGCGCTATTTCATCTCTCTTTTTAATTTTAGCCCAGTCTTGTAAGATAAATCTTATCTGTGCCACAAGTAAATGCTTGATAGAGCACATTTTTAAAGCCTTTAGAAGGAGGGGGAAAAAGTGTGGTTTGTCTGGGTCACTGTGTGCTTTGTCTAAGTAAAGGCATAGCTATTTGTCAGTTTATCTGTCTGCTGTCCTTCTGTCTAGCTCTCCAGTTACCTTGCAGCAAACAAGCCAGGAGCATTAGCACTGAATTGTGAGAGCTACAAGGAAAAAGTGCTTCTCTGCATGAACCATGGCCACACTTAGCTTTTACAATCCTATAAAAATTGGTCTACTTGCTATCAATTCATCCTAGAAAGCAAGCCACTGCTCTCAATTGCCTCCAGCTTTGATGTAAGCACCCTACAATACTCCTATTTAAACTACAGTGGATGGAAGACACCTATAAAAATATTAATTATCTCCAGTTGACACCAGATGCAGTTAACATACTGTATGCCAGCTCTGAAATACTAGAGTTTTTATTAGGAAAGCTAATGTTTATTGCAAGCATTAAAGTCTGAGTCATAAAAGGCTGAGCATAAGAAAGATGTTTCAGGTATTATTCCTTTCACGTACCAAACACAAGTTTGCTAAATCCTGCTTGCGGGGTTAATTATTTTGGAAGTCATATTGCAAATAGAAGCTCTCGAAGAACTTGGCAAGATCTTATCCCGCACTCAGTGGGCCAAATGTAAATGAGCAAGATGAATCTCCACTGGTTTCAGTGAATGTTGGCCTCGTAACTTTTAAGTGAAGCAGATAAAAACAGCAGCACAGATTACAGGCTTAATGTCTGAATTACTTGAGTAGTGTCAATTATGATAATTGTAGCCCTGACACCAGTGTATGCTTTGCTACTGTTTCCTTTGTAGACAGGTTGATCCTTTGCTTTTTTAAACCAAGAGGTCAGGAAGGTGAGCTGTACAGCTGGGCAGCCAGCAGCCTTATGTATCTGGGTCACTGTCAGTGCCCCAAAGGTGTACCTTAAGTTGCTTGTGTAATGGGAAGCGGAAGGCTGCCCGAGCTCTTGTGCTCAAGGATTAGGTTTATGGTTACCACCAGACTGGACACACAACTGCCCTGTCTGCAAAACCTGTGTCACACAGCTAAGAGACGAAACAAAATGATGCAGATATTATACAGGATGGAGGTGGACTATTCTGGCTTTCACTTACAATGACAACTGCAAAACCCCCATACGTCTTTACTGCATACAATCAGAATTATCCTCTTAAGGATTCTTTGAGGAATCACAAGGAAACACAAGCAACAATTAGACTTAAATTTATATTGTGTTTTTTCCTTCGTATCAGATTTCCAATTCCACAGTTCATCTCAGTATGCATGCACATGCCTAATCATAAGGATGGGTTTCGCATGTTACTGTAAGGTATAACTGGTTGCATGAACCACAGCAACGTTGTCTTACCCTTCAGACTTGAGTTAGTTGAGCCAAAGAGCCAGCCAGTTGCCTCTGTTCCCCAGACAGCACCAGAGCTTAAATATGAACCACTCCTATCACGTGCCAAATCTCCCTGCACAGCATGGCTTACTCCAGAGCAGAGTTAGGAGAATCAACATGAAGGAAGTCTGAGCAGTCAGGAGCTTAAGCCTGATGGCAGCACCAGGCTAAATTGGAAGTGGAGACAGCCTTGTGTGCACACTGGTTGCTTCAGAACAGAACTTTCACTGTGCTTCCCCCTTTCCAGCATCAGACTTAATTTTTATTGTAAAAAGTCCTTGATAGCCTACAAGACAATACTCAGCAATACACTAAGGGTTTGTTTCTATCTCTGATTTTTTCTTTTAATCTCAGTAATACATTGAGATTTTCCTCTGATGTTTTGTGTCTTTGCAATTTCTACTTTGCAGAGCAAGCTAACAACGTTCAATCAAAATACTTATTTTCTCTTAAAACAAAAGCTAATACTTCTTTCTATAATGATGAATTTTGAGTAACTGTTTATTTCTATAAAATGTGTAAGTGTATACAAATGTACTTTTATGTACACACATACATACATATGTGCTTCACTGAAATGTTAATGTGCAAAGCGTACTCTTACTTCAACTTGATTTAAGTAAATTTATAATCAAAATAATAAACAATTAAAAATTGAATAAGATCAAGATCTTCCCCATATGATTTTCTGCAGTATAGTAGTAGGGAATTACATGTGCCGGTTTTGAAGTACTGAAATGAACTATGAATTCATTATAACCTCATCAGTCTAATCCCTGATTACCTTAAGCAAGGTGGTATTCCATGAATTGTTCTTTGTACACTTAAAGGACCACAGTTACATGAAGTTCAGTTATTAAAACCACTTTAATCTATTCCCAGATAAGCGTGGCTCAGCTATAAAGAACAGCATGTTGTATTAATGGAGGTTTTATTTTGACTGCAGCTCTTCACTGTGCTGCTACACCAAAGTCTAGCATTATGTTCCCTGGCATATTAAGTACATTAAAATTACTTCAAGCTATAGAAATATCAGTGATTCCATCTCAAATCTTTTCTCCTTATAAATGTTCTTATTCTTTGTGGGACAAAAAAAAGATTTCTAATTTTACTGACAAATTTTCAGTGTCTCTTTTCAGACCTGCTAGTTTCATCAAAAACCAAGAAACAGAATGACATTGCCAGAAGATATTTCCTATGAACCACGGACTACCGTTTGTAAAATATGACTCAAACAGGATGTCCTTTCAGAAAGCAGTACTGTGTTTATGATTCCATAAGATCTTTACATATTTCAAATGATATTCAGAAATATGCTTATGGGTTTTTTTTAAGATCTTATTTTCTTATCTGAACTCTTTTAACAAAGGTATTACGCTAAGTATAAAAGCTGTCCAATTTTTTTCCAACCTTTTGCTTCTCTCTAAACCACAGTCATTTTGTTAGACATTGAAAATGTCTTGATTTAGTTGTCTTGCTATTTTGGGCCTGTCCTGCCCCCTGCAGTGGTAATAAGGATGGGGCTTCCTGCTGGGTCCTGAAGAATACCATTTCACGGCCGCCACATAGCTGGCGGCTTTTATTTATGGAGCCAAGAAAATGAATGGGTATTAGTGTCCAAACATTTCAACATGCTCCTGTGGCCATGCACAAAAGGGACTGATTTGCAGCAAATTTCCACTTATTTTTCAAAAGTATTTACCTTGCAGAAGCTTGGCTGATCGCTATAATGGCATAGCAGAGGGGAAAAATGACCATTTCAGAACCCAATTTTTATATATGTTTCTGAACCTTAAAAGTGCTATACTTCTTGTGAATAAAGATAATACTCTTGGTTGCTAGGCTTTTATGGATATGTGGCTAATGCCAGCCCTTTTTTTCATGTGTATCTTTACAACAGATGAAATGCACATTACCTAGAAGCTGAAAGCTTACTCTGCAACGGGGATTGCACAGGTGAAGATTCTTGCAAGAGACGTTACTGGTGCCAGTGCTAAAGTTTAGGTTCTTTTAAACATGGTGAATGGCTCTCAGCATGACAGACCCCAGAGGTGCTTTCAACACCTGTACTTCTACCTGCCTGCTGGGGGCAGTGCTGTGTGCACTTTACACCTTCCCTGAATTACCCAAGAAATTTGAGGAAGACTTTCAACTGATGCTAGGCTGTTGCAGCTGCATGAAACCTACATCACAACGCTGCATTTGAAAATTGATGAGATTTGCACATGCCCTTAAAATGACTGAAATATGAGAGGACACTTAGAAATGGTGGCTAAAGGTTCTGTTCAGACAGCAATGTTCAGAAATGAAATTCAAAGTCTTGTGCTTATGCCTTCTTAAATAGTTCCAGATGAGCTTTTTGGGCTGCAAACTTCAACTGCAATCAGCATGTGGCTGCTAGCTGATATGAGCACTTAGTTACATAAAATGAAGACTCTTCTTAGTTGTGCAGGTGTTTGCAGATACCATTTCTCAGGTGTAATTCCTGAACTTAAGGGGAAAGCTATCACAAATTAGTTCTAAGTTGATTAGTTCCATGTTGGAATCTATGTCTGTGGTCTTTTCTCTTGCAAAAATTATCTATCAATTATAGCAATGCTTCCAGTTTAACTCCTGATCTTAAATTAATCCTATTTTTTGTCTAAAATCGGTTTTCACAAACGAGGAAAAAAACAACACCACCATACAAAATAAGCATTCTGTTTCACCAAAGAGCTTGATTATCTTAGAGTTATTAAATCCATAAAGAAAAATCTGAAATCCTCAATATGCAGCAGTACACCTGGAGCTGCTTCATGTTAAAGGTTCTTCTTATTCCTTTGCTACCCATTCAGACTCATTCTACTTAGGCTCCATCTCCTGAATCTCATTCAGGCAATCCCAAAGAAACAGCACACAACATAGGCAAATCCTCTGCAAAGAATGTCTCTACCTCCTCCTGCTAACCTGCCTTCAGCTGCCAATAACAGCTTCAATGTATACATGAAAAACGAGATGAAGAAGTGGAATAGAGGGGCAGATAAATAATCTCATCTGTATCAACACCCTTCTAACTATGCAGGAGGCATATTAAGAGAAAGAGAGAAAAACATGGGGCTCTTTCCTTTTTTCGTCCCCTACAGTTTTACAAGATCTGGTTCCTTTTCATACAGCGTGGCAGAATGCACCCTACACCAGAACAGCTGTTAGGCAGGAATAAACAAAAGGCACAGTTCGAAGAATACTCACAAGTCTCCAGGGGAAGGATGGCCATTTCTGTCAGCCACAGTCTCTCCTGTTGAGGAATGGATGGAATAATGTTCATAGAGTGTTGAGGGTCTGCTGTGGGTACTGGACAAGTTGAATTTATTATTTATTTTAAGTTTCCACTCATTTCCTGGTCTCTCCTGTTGGCATAGAGGATACCTTATGAAAACTTCAGAACACCTTCAGAAGTATGTTTCTACAACATACTTCAGAGCATAACATTTTAATTTTGAAGTAATCAAGGCCAATCAAACAGTAGGCATGAGAGTCCTGTTTTTGAACAAATTATAAATTAAAGCATTTTAAAAACAATATGCCATTCATCTCCCTTACTCATTACAGTGCAATTAAGACTGAAATACTGTATTTTAATCTGGTTAAGAATAAACTGTCCTAAGAATCCTCACAGAAAATACAGTTTAAAAAAAAAACAAAAACAATGTTTTTTTCTCTCCACTAAAACATTTCATTCTGTTGTAATGAAGCAGGCAAATTTCAACAAAAATGAATACCTCGCACTCTCTTTTGTTCCCTTTTTTAATATATTTTGGTTTAGTCAATGACTGAGAAAGTCTGTCAAACCCTGCTCAAGGTCCCTTCTTCTGTCATTGAAAGTGAATCATCCTGAAATCCCACTTATTAACAAAGTTTAATCTTTTCAGGTTAGGAAAAAAAAAAGGGGGGGAGAGAGAAAGACAGAAATGTTGCTTTTTTTTCCCCAGGGTTAGGAATTACTTTTATCTGACAATGGCTTTGCATGTTATGGCATTAATTTTGCAATAAATTATAGTGTAGGTAGGTGGAATTACTCACATTGCTTGACCAAAGTGTCTGACCTAGCCAGACCTCTGATTGATGAATAGTTTTTCATTTTGTTCTACTAGTCCTATCAGACAAAATCGAAAAGTGAAGTGAAAAATATCCTATCCTATTTCCTGAGTGAAAAATATCCTATTTCATGTAATAGCATTTTGTTATATATCGTTACCACTTAATTCTGTCACCAGTGTCATGACTGTGTTAAGTAGGCCTTTCAGCTTAATCCTTTCACACCTCAATGTGACATTCATCTTGGACAACTGATGCACCAAAACTCTTGGTCCCAAGGAGTGAAATAATTGCTAGATTGCTGTGCAGTGACTTAGCCAACATCCTCCAAGGAGAGGTCTCTTACAAAGTTAAAAATGTGAATGGAGCATGATTCAAGCTACCTTTGTTCTAAATTCCTTATGTATCAGTCCCAATATAGCATTCTCAATATTCATTTTAGGAAAAGCCAAGCACAAGCACAAACAGTTTTGGCTGCCCACCTGAATACCTACTGCGTACTGAAGTTCAAGCACTTCTTACTTCGTTGCTATTGTTACCCAAGATACTCAGATTTAATCTGATTCACGTGCATCTGTCTGTGACACTACACCTCTAGACAGCTTTATGACAGTGTCAGAAGTTTATTTGTTGTTTGAGCTTTCTCAGGACCTCTTTTCAGCATAACTGCTAGATTCTGCTGAACTTCATGGTTGCATACCAGTTGTCTCTTGGCCTGAATCCCTACTCAAGTCCAAGAAAGACATCTGAAATCACGTGTGGGTTTGGAAGAAGCTCTTGAAAAATATTTTAGTAAGTTCAAATTCAACTTATTCCCAACATGTCGTGACTCCTGTCACAGTGCGACAGCCAGAAATTTGGATACAACATCTGCACAGACATTTGTGTGTGGCTTCAAACTATCAATTTCTACCCTATAAAACTTTATGGCAACATCACAAGGCCTACATAGTTTGTTTTACAAACTGGGCAATCGTGAGAATGAAACAAGGTATGTAGGTCCTATGCAAAACACTTCACACTGACTTATATGAAACCTTGCTCCTCTGCAGGCATTTCTAATTGAGCAGAATTTTAGTCAGAACAGATGAAAGGCAAAATATTCAATGAGCTGTCTGCTTTGCAGATACAGTTTTGTTATTGCCAATCTTACTGCTTGCAATGTGGGAACGAGGCAGCAAATAATCAACTAACAGCACACACAGCTCTGGTAGCAGCAGTTTCAGTGGGTGGCAGAGCCGATGAAAAGTTAGAAAATAGGCTTGTGAAACTTTAAGTGTTTCATGTCACAGGCCTCAAAACTTATCAGGTTTTTATCTTTGTCAACATTTCCATGACTTTCAATCAGAATTCCATAATAAATGTATGGAATATTAATGTTTGGAAGGAAAATATATTTGCTGTACTATAATTTTGCACATGCATGGTACATAACATTTCTGTATAGATTCATACTACTAGACCATACTGTTTTGCTCATTGTTCAGCTTATCCCTGGTGTATGGCTTACCCCCTCAGAGTCAATTCATCAAATTACCCCAGAGATATCTCTAATTCTATTTTCCCCTCAGAAGCAACTCCCTAAATATGTGAATTTGTTTGTTCTCCAAACCAGTCAGCTTATAGAGTAGGAAAGGATCAGTTCAAATGACCTAATTACAGGACTAGGGCCCTAATTTACGAAAAGTTCACTAGAGCTACAACATGCCACAGCAGCATCTAACCACAGTTTTCACATTCTTTTGCTTTTCAACCGAAGACTATTGTTGCAGTGTCCCCGTCTTTGCCCCCTTCCTCACTGTTTTGGTGCCAGTATATTGGGCCATGTGCTATTTGGACTGGAATTTCTTTGAAGAATGAGCTGCATATTCCTTAACAAACCAATGACGTATTTAATAGAAACAGGAAGTAGCTAGCAGGCAAAAACTAGTATTGTAGAGACTTTCTTTTTTAATCAATCTCTTTGCAGAAGCAGCTACCGTTATTTTTTAAGAACCCATTTCCAATTTTATCCTAGTTATAATATTTTGTTTGCTTGGATTTTCTATTGTTGGTGGGTGGGGGTTTTGTTCATTTGTTTTGTTTTGTTTCTGTTGCTTTTCACACCTGGCTTCTGTCTGGAGTCTTCGGTCTGTGCTAAAGTCACATTGCAAGTGCTTACCTCAGTCAGTGGATACTTACACAGCGAATGTGCACCCGGAACATTCCACTGGTTCCACTGGCATCAGTCCACATGTGTGCAACTGTAAATGACATGAAAAAAAAATCTAGCCTCTGATATGAAAAGGGCTATTTATGCACTTTCACAAAGGACAAAAGTCTTATAACTTTGGGTCTATACAGAAATGAGACACAAATATGTTAGCGAAAAACCCCAAGTTTTCTAAATGTAGATGAGCACAGATTAAGAAAGCAGTAATTAATTTCCTTTGACCTCAAGCTGAAATTCCTTTCTAAAGCTGTCATAAAGAGAAAGAGGCCAGAGAGAAGAAGTGAAACTGTGTAACAATGCAATTAAACCCTTGTAATGAGGTCAGCCATTGGACTTGTTGCAACTGATATCATTATAGCAATGAAGAGGCATTATACGATGGCCTGATTTTATACAGGATTCATTCTTTTCCTTTAACTCTTTACCAGTCAAATATGTATTCTACAGCATTATAAAACAATTGCTGATATCCACCAGAGGAGCAGACACATGCTTTCTGGTCTTACTATCACTATTTCATAAGTTCTGGCAATGAAAATATGAGAAAACTCAGCAACAGTGGCGTACAGAACAACTTCAATACAAACAACCCTTTACTCACATACAGTGTCATAACTGCTAATAGAAGCTTCCCCTCAGAAAGCAACTGCACACTCTCCAACAATGGGAACAGGTATCTTTCAGCATTAAACCAATCACATTAAAAAAAAAAAAAAAAAAAAAGAGGTTAAACAAGACCTTAAGTTCCCAACATTCTATCCTGCTTCAAACCATCTTTTCTGATTGTACAAAATATTGGCTGACTGTTACTCTGGCTGCTGCAACAGCAAACTTTGTTTTCTCCATGCCTGGTCAGCAACAAGTTCAGATATGCTTCAGTAGGTGCTGCTTGCTAAATATATATATATATATATATATATATTTAAAAATACACTGACAAATGCTGATAGGTAACACTTAACTCATGTGAGAGTTGTCCTCTTGGAAAATATGAACAAACCTGTAGGAGTAACCTGAACCATAAGGAACCCTTAGAAGTCCCAATCTCACTTGAAACTTGTTTATCCACTGAGTGCTCTGGGAAAAGACTTTGCTCCCCTGGAATAGTAAGTGCTGGTTTCAGGTTGTCTGCAAGCATCTTAAGCTTTGATTTTCCAGTTAAGCATCAAAAATAAAAACAATTGTGAAACTCAGATTTGGGGTCTGATTCAAGGAGATTTATTTTGCATAAATCTTTCATTATATGAACAAAAAGATTTTGAAGCAGAAACTTAAGGACATGCATCTTTTCTGGAGGGGATGTCCTAAGTATAGGGCCTGCAGATGACCCGTCTTATTACTTCTCTGACTCACCTGGATCCCCTGCATCCCTGGACCTCACATTACCTATTTCCTCAGCAACTATTCAGCAGAGTGGTAAATGAGAAGTCGCAGTTCTTCCTTCAGCATGTCTTACACATGTGATTCCTTCTCCATGCTCCTAAGATGGGACTTGGGTCCTCATGATAAAGAGATGGTTCAGGTTCATGAATACAGAATGGCTGGAGGAAGTTCATCTTCTCAAGACATTTCAATCATACCTTTTTCTCTATTTCTTTATTTGTGCCCTCTTGCTCAGAATGGTGCTTGCTTACTTGGGATGCCTTGCATTAGCATAGGGAACACACATTCTGAACTCAGAAGAGAAAAAGTTAAAGGAGAAACCTATTTGCTTATTGGAGCCGCCATCAGTTGTGCCATATTTAGTCCTTTAAAAAAACAATTGTAGTAAGCCCCAAAATGAATAAACGAGGGCATTTACGTAACGCATAGAGAACAGACCTTTGTTTGAAGAGTCTGTTTGTTGACTTCAGTGTGGCAAGGAGATTTCAGGCTTCAGCTTCCTCTTTCTTGAGGCTTTAGTTCTGGTCCCAGAAAACATCAATGCATATATGAAAGCATAAAGGAATTTCAAACTGATGTCAAGTATTTCCAACTCTTCCCTTCACA